CATCTCCCCGGCCGAGTCCCTTCGCCCCCGCCAGGCCTGGTGCATCCCGACGAGGAGGGTGAGGAGGAGGGAGCCGAAGAACAGGGCGTAGTCCACTGCTGACAGGGTTTTCTTCGATGGCATTGGAGGTCGACGAGGGTCGCTCGGGAAATGAAACAGCCCATTTGTTGAGAAGGGCCGGAGCTGAGGTATGACATTTGATTCATGTCTGAGAGAAGATAAATGTTTCGATCCATCAGGAGGAGACAGGATGGAGTATCCTCTACAAATACCCGGAAATCCCAGGGGCTTTCCTCATCGGAGATATGGACTGTTCGTGTTCGTAAACGTTATCTTACGCTCGAAAACGCTTTTCCGTTAGCACATCAAAACAACGTGTAACTAAATGAGCGGTTGGCGGAACAACTACGAAGAGACGATGAAGGACGCCATGGACAACAAGAGGAATGCTTTTGCTGTTATATATATTTTTTAACCTCGTACATATAACTTACGAAGGCTCAACTGCAAGTTTCAATCGGCCAAAAATTTAGATGGGAAATGCATGAAAGCCGTTGTTAAAAACAATCACACATGACTATTCATTAGTGAAACACTTTCCACTCTGGAACTCCATGCAGTGGCCTGAATCAATGATTGAAATATTATTAGAGTCTTCATGTTCGTCCTGAAAGACGTGTAGTGGTCGCGTCGAATGAGGTGCTCCCAACGTGAGTTTTCTTTTTGGCATTGTAGTTAACATACTGTTGGAACATAAGCAATGTGTTCTCCAGTATGAATCGTGCACCAGAAAGGAAAAATAGGTTTTCCATGTGTTTTCATGCGCGTGAAACAAGGAAAATATAGGATCACGACGGCTGTCTCCTTGACCTTTTCAGTTTCATTAATTTCAGTTTTCATTATTAGGCTGGGTGAGGATTTCCGCGAGGCCTATTACTCTAGTCCACTCGCATGATGCCATCCCTCTTGGAGCGAAGGGCTGCTGAAAAGTCACATTTGGAGATTCCCGGAAGCATTTCCGTGGTCAATTATCCACGGTGGCGGTACTGCTGAAACTGATGGCGGAACAACTGGCCTTCCCGCAACGCGAGCTGCTTGGCCGAAATGGTCTCGAATATTCTAAACAGATTCAAATGAAAAGAGTGAAATGTGGCCCTTTATTAGGTTATCCCCTTTAATTATCGCCGTAAGGAAGCTTAATCTCTTCTTTCTTTCTCTTTTCAAAAGTGAAAAACGGAAAATATATATATATATATATGTCACGTCTGGAAAATAAAAAAAGTCGCTTCATACTGAAAGCAGAAGAGTGAGATGGGAGTCTATAAGACATATATATGCATTAAAACTCTCAGCATCACAGAACTGTTCCAAGGAAGAGGAAAGCAGTGCTGCAATAATAATGCTTTCATAAACTCGTACATATGACTTACGAGGACTCCATCTGCAAGTTTCGATCGTCAAAAATTTAGAATATGGGAAATCCATGAAAGCCGTTGTTAAGAACAAACATGACTGCTCACCAGAGAAACACCTCTCCTCTCTGGAAAGACCATGCATTGGTCAGAATCAATGATTGGAATTTTATTGGTGTCTATATGTTGGTCATGAAAGAGGTGTAGTGGTCGCGTCGAAGGTGGGGCTTCCAACGAGAGTTTTTCTATTTGGTGTCGTAGTAACATAAGCAATGTATTCTCCAGTATGGATCGTGAACCAGAGAGGAAAAACAGATTTTCCACATGTTTTAATGTGCGTGAAACAGGGAAAAAATAGGATCACGATGCATGTCTTCTTGGCCTTGTCAGTTTTTATTATTAGGCTGCGTGAGGAGATCCGCGAGGTCTATTACTCTAGTCCACTCCCATGATGCCATCCCTCGTGTAGCAAAGGGCTGCCGAAAAGCCACATTTAGAGACTTCCGGAAACATTTCCTCGGTCAGTTATCCACGGTGGCGGTGCTGTTGAAAGTGATGGCGGAGCAACTAGCCTTCCCGCGATGCGAGCTGCTGGGCTGTCTCTGAAAACCGAAATCGTGCGAGGCGGACGACACCCAACGAGAGGGAAGGCCAGGGTGGAGCAAATCTTCCCTCACTACGCCCGTGGAACAGCCATCTTCCAATAGGAAGAAGCGAAAATCGCTTCGTCATTCGGTTACCACGAGAAAAGACAGACCAAATGGTATTTTCCTACGGGTGAAGAGGCTGATGAAGATGGTGACGAACACTCCAACGAGAAACCCCAAAGGGAGGACCCATAAATAAGACACGTAGTAGATTTTTGAGAATCCCAACCTATGAGAGATCGATTCAAAGTATCTGTAATGCCACGTATAAGGAGCAAAGAGTTACGAGTATTCTGAGTTCAATTTCGACTCTTACCGATGGTTACCGATGAAATGCGAGAGATAAAAGGTTTCCTCGTACACTGACTATGTAATAATGTGAAAACCAATTTTCAATGGCTTTCCCATTCTTTAACCCACCTCCTTCCCACCCCCGCCCCTCTCCAGGACTCCCTGACGTTAGGCCTAGGTCTAACCAAGAGACTGCCTTCAGGTCACGCCAAGAACTGCCTTTTGCTCTTCAAGAGAAACTCGATTCTCAACTTACGGCCCCAATTAAGCCTATAAGGATGCATCGTGGTCTTCGAAACATCTGGATGAGTAAGTTAGGCGACATGAGTCATTTCAGTGGGACGTGGAACGTTAGGCCTATCTGGAGTTCCTCGAACCATCTCGAATAGGTCTGATGAGAGAATGCCCTCAAGAAGCATGCAATCAATGGTACGCCATCCTGTTAATTCAGGGATTTCGGGATAAGATATCTGCATATCCCACCACATCGATCGATAACTGCTAACAACCGCTTCTTTCTCATGAACTCAGCACAAAAATGTCTCATACATAAAAAAATCCAGAAGATCCAGTCGCCATTATGAAGGTGGCAACAGTCCTGAATCGGGCATAATTTCGGCACGGTATCCGGCAACACTGGTGGACGGTACCTGAGATAACTCTAGCCTAAATGAACGACAGCTCATTTCATTTTTTTTTGCGGAATGAAGCATCGCAAACAACAAAAAAGGCACTTTTCGTCATCTACGAGTCAATATCTTTCGTATGGTTGGTCTCTTTCCTTCGAAACCCCCCCCAGGAGTGGCCATGTAGGGGGGGGGGGGAAACCGAAATGAAATTCACATCTTCCAAAAACGAGATTCAGTGTTCTCCACAACCCTGGGGGGATAGAGCTTCAAATTTGCTGGAGCAATTCTGGCTTGAGAAAGGAAGAAGTATGTCAAATTTCGTTTCTGTTGATGTTCTCAAAGAGGAATATGAGGAGGTTGAATTTTGCTGCGGGAAGGGTTTGAGGAAAGGTAAAAGGCGTTACGGTGTCCATTGATAAGAAATTCCCCTCGTTTTCCTGGCCTGGAAGGCCGTGACGACATTCCCCTTAGAACATTTCATAGAGTCGGATAACGACTTCGACGTCAGGCGAAAGAGAATGGAGTCAGTAGCTCTGGGAATCGCCTACCCTTTCCAGCCACGAAACTCAGCCTCCTCGTGTTCCTCTCTGAGAGCACCAACAGGAATGGAATTTGCATAGGTTCTTCCTCTCTCAACGCAGAATCGCTCTCGCAAATTTGAAGCTCCATCTCGTCGGGGGTTGTGGAGATCATTTAATCTCGCTTTTTGGAGATAGGAATTTTCTTTTTTTTCTCTCTCCCGTAGGTAGCCACTCCTGGGAGATTTTCGGATGAGAGAGACCAAACTTGAGAAAGATATTGACTTGTGGATAACGAAAAGTGCCCTTTTCGTTGCTTGCGATACATCACTTCGCCATAAAAAGATGAAATTAACTGTCGTACATTAACGCTTAGAGTGCTAGCCTCGATCTCTTCCCCAAGTGTTGCCGAATATCGTACCGAAATTATGACATTCAAGACTACTCAACCTTCGTATCGGCGTCTGGATTTTCTGTATTTTTTTAATGATACATTTTCGTGTTGAGTTCATCAGTTGAGCTGAGAATGAAGCGGCGGTTAGCAGTGATTGATCGCTGTTGTGGGATATGGAGAATTTATTATCCGGACATCCCTGAGTTACCAGTATGGCGCGTGTCATGGATTTCATGCTTCCAGGAGGCATTCAAGAGTCAGACCAATTCGAGACGGTTCGAGCAGTTCCAGATAGGATTAATGTTTCCCATCCCAAATGATATAATTCATGAAATGCAAAACAGGCCTCTAATCGGTCGAATGTCCTCTGAAATGGTTCGTGAAAGTGTGAATAGGCCTGCGATCGGCCTAACGTTACACATCCTCAACGAGATATCTCGAATCCCACGGATAGGCCTAATTGGCCCCATAAGTCGAGAATTGAGTATATTTAAAAAGGCATTTGGGGTGACCTGATGTCAGTCTACTTGTTGGTTAGACCTAGGCCTAACATTAGTGAGTCCCGTAGAGAAGAGGGGGTGGGGGGAGGGGGGGAGGGGGAGGGGGGTTGAGGAACGGGATGCCATTGAAAATTGGTTTTCACATTACTTCCTTGGTTAGTGGATCGAAAGAGCAAAAATTACCTATCTATAACAGGATTTTCTCTATAAGATTCTCGCGACAAAATCAAGGCGAAATCTTAATCGTCACGCAGCTTCATGTGATTTTGAGCAGTCCTACAGCAGACCAACATGAAAATATTTTCGTCTTTTCGCCGTCTATCGTTCTCACTTGTCCAGATCGGGTGGGGGTGGAGGCGGCGTCACGGACACGTTGAAGGGGCATCGGTCCACGGACGAATGCAATGGGGTCGGACCTGGAACTCCGGCTATGTATGATCCAAAACCGAGCCAAGACGTCGTCGCCAACGATGCCATCACGCCGGCAATTGCTCCCTAGAAATATTTTTGCATTATAGATGAATGAGCTGCAAATCCATTCGAAACACACATCGAAATTTTTAAAGATTCAATTTTAAGTAATAAAATTAGAACTACACTCAAAAGGCGAAAATAATATTTCCTCTCTTACGTGTTTGTTGACGAATGGACAGAGAACCGCCGTGAGAAAGAGGCACAGGGTTGGTCCTGCGGTTATTGAAGTGACGATCACGACCATCTGCAAGATTCCGCCGCCCGTTCGACCGACCACAAAGGCCAGGGCCATCGTCACTACTCCACTCCCGGTTGCTGTGTGAGGAATTCTTCATGTGATATTTACAGCGAGTTTGTTCGTCCTTCGGGCAAACAAACTGGCCATAGTTGTGCCTTCAAGACCCATTATCGAAGATAGTGACTAAATCATCAAATCATTTTCGATGTGGCAAAATTTATTCAAAATACGTCTCTTTCGAAACATGTAGGGAAGTGACCGAGATTTAAAAAAAATTGAAATCATAACTTCGATGATTTCTTGTGTGCCTATCTTCAAATCTCTTCATATAACAATTTTTCTTACGGAAAAAAATATTTAAAAAATAATAATTTTTCTGAAATCGGTACTCAATGAACTCCATATCTATCATGTTTCAGTCTTATACGTCTGTTCATTTCGATAGTGCAAAAATATATTTGCAAATACGACCCACCCAAAAGTTGTGTCTCGAGGGAATACACAAAGAAATTAAATTTTTTTATTGAACTCAACATCATATCAGTTATGTGTGCGCTAACTTTCACCGATCTATATCTACACGATTTGTTAGGACAAAAAAATTTTTTGGAAAGGTCGACTCCCACGAAATATATCGCCCCAGAGGATGTATCTGATATTTTTAGAATTTTTAGAATGAAGATATTTTTTCTGAATTCAGTATCTTAGATCTTAGTCGGCACATTCATGTAAAGTTTTAACTATCCAGGTCTCTCCATTTGGCTGAAGTTAATTTATAATAATTAATAATAATTTATTTCAAACAATCCCCCAAACGTTATGCCCTCAGGGCATTTACCTCCAAAGTCTGAATTTGTATCAATTCAGCATCCCAAAGCGCCAAGTTTCTATTTTCTATTTTATATAGAACGTGGTTAGGATTCGCTTCTGTCCCTCAGTCAGTCACGATCGTCTATAATATATTGGGTATTTCTTTGCTCACCGATGAGCTTCGTATACGTCGCTGTTCTGTGGTCACTGAGGTGTTTCCCGAATTGGGTCTCACGGACGGCTTCGAGGATGACGGCTGCCACCGAGTTCATTCCGGAAGACAATGTACTGCAATCATAACGATAACGCTCTCTTACATCACTTCATCCACTAGACGGTCGGGACGAACGAGTCCTTCCACCTGAGAGAGGCAGCGAAGAGGCTCGCTAGGAACACTCCCGGGAGACCCACGAACCGACCCAACTTGTCCATGACGAAGTAGGGGATGATTTCGTCTTGCTTCTCGATCAAGCCCGCTTTCAAAGGATCGCATCCCTCGTAGTTTGCGAACGCGA